TATATCGTTATGGTTGATAGACAGCCTCCGATCGCAGGTATGCACAAAACAGTTTTTATATACGCGTGCATTTGCTCCCCACAACTTTTCTCATCAATCCGTCGTGATACTCGCGATGACAAATGTACCATTCACAAATCGAATAATCTCGATCGCATCGGTCTGATCGCCGTTACGTAAATTATTTTCAAAACATCCGTGTCGATTTTACCAAAGACAATACGATTACCAGATGCAATCTACCGCAGTGTGCAGTACATAAATAATTTTGCAAACGTCAAAGACAACATTGCAATATATATTATGTTTGATGTCCGTTCGTTTCGTAAAAATAAGTTACGCGTAAGCCGACGAAAAGTGTCGTGAATTCGATGTACGACCGGTGCGGCGTATTGAATTATTATGTATTTTATTGCATTTAATGCAACGGCGCAAATATACTATTACTGGAGTAGAGATTTTTTATGTATAATATAAGCTGCAGTGGACAGTATACAGTTTTAAATGGAAGCAGTAATTATAATGGCTTTCGATAAATGGTTGCCGACAAAGAAAATTTATTACTACCAGTGTTCTACACTGATAACCAAAAAAACTATCGAACTAAGACAATATATAAATATTTAAATATGTATCTGGATAATGGATGAAATATAACTACATTTATCTAGGTAAAAACAGATAATTTTAAAAAGGTTCATCATTCAAAAGTTACGTTTGTAAAATAATTCTTTTTCTACAGATAAAAATTTATTTATTTATTTATTAAGTTAATTTAGACACAAAACAAGTGCCTACACAAACCTATTTTTGTTTTTATATTTTTATAAATCCAACTATAATTTTTTAAATATAAATATTATATAATAGTATAAATAAACTATTTTTATTTTATATTATTAATAACTAATCAGTTTACAAATCCCAGTATTAAAATTTAAAATTATAAACAAAAATTAATCATCAGCATATGATAATTTAAATAATAAAAAATGTACCTATTTTTATTCGTTAATTAATAAACGAATATGATTTAAATATACATATATTAAATATTATAGAAGTATATATAATACGAGTACATACTATATTATTATGACTTTGTAATATTCTAATTAAATTATTTAATTTAATGGTTATCACTTTGTCTTTAATTTACATGCAGTTAAACAAAATTCATACAAAAACGGTAAATCATATAAAATATGTATATAGCAGGGGTCACTATAAGTTGGTGGTTAGTTTTATTATTATTTATTACTTTATTCATTATAATCCCAGCTTATACGTGGTTATTTATGGAACGTTCCAGCTAAAGATTGACGTTTTATGACTGTATGAGTTGAATTATTATTGTCTATATTATGAGTATTATATTGGTCTATAATATTAGGTATATTATTGAATTCTGGCCGTAAGCATTAGGCAAGCAGGTCGATCAAAAAAAAAAAAAAAGTATATCAGTATAAAATTTATAATATTTGAAATTATATATATATATATATGTTATACCTTTTGCTTCGTCTATAGCAGGGATGGTAAATCAATGACATGCGTGCCCGAGGTGGCACAAGAAAAGATTTTGAGGGCACGCGAAAAATTAAAATACTTCTATTATAATATATATTATATAATATTATAATAGGTAAAAATATTTTTTATAAACTCTATAGAATATGTATATTTAAAATTTAAAATGTACATACTCGGTACACCGAGTATTTTTATTACTCGTTTCACTCAACACAAAAAATGATCTTAAATTATCTATATATCTCAGGTAACAATTTTATTTCAAAAAAAGATGGATAAAAAGATAATTCAAAATATTTTTATCGAGATTAATCATCTAGATTATACCAAACACCGATGACTACGTATAACATAGGAGGTATGCCTATATAAACGCAGACGCGACGATCGAACGTGAAAATGATCGTTGACGAACAATTTATAATTATAACCGCTTGCCAATGCTACTCTAGTGTTATAATATAATAAACACACACACACACACACACCTTATGTTCGGGCGCCGAATGGACGATAATAGTATTATTATAATAAACGAAAAACGTTGTCTGATAGGTACTTCGAATACCTTTATCTGAGGAACAAAGGTGTGTGCGGTGTGTGGAGACAATGAATCGCGTGTGTCTTTTTATGAAATTATCGCGTGAAACAATTTTCAGCGCAGAAAAGAAAAAAAATTGAACAAACACAATACGAATAAAAAAAAAAAATAATAAAAAAAATAATAAAAATAAAAATCGCACATGGCCGTAACAACTGCAGTGCTCGGTATACCTATATGTTCACGGTAATAACAATAATATAATATCGTGATTGAGAATAATAACGAAAAATATTTCTAGCCGCGAGAAACGAAAATGGACGGACGTGTAGGGCCGTGTGCAAGACATTCGGGATCATGGATCGGCGAATCTAGAAACTCATCGCAGGGTGTGCTTTTACCTCGAAGAGATTTTCTGTAGATCAAAATACCTCTCAGTTATCATACATTTAAGAGATGCTGCTCATTTGAAATAACAATATTATTAATATTAAATAATATTAAGATTAATTTTTATTAGTTTAGATGCTATTTTTCATGCTGCAATATACACATGTAATGTTTAAAAATTATTAATTTTTATAAACTACAACTATTGTAAAATTTAATGTATATAACTCAATTATTTTTGGATACACTCATAACCAACAGTTAAATTGTTAATCAATAATATTTAAAATTTTTGGAAGCTTAATATTACATCTTAATTTTATTATCATTAATAAACAATTATATACTACTAACAATATATACTGTATAACTGATAGTAATCAACAAATGTTTTGCAAACATTTTATAAAATTAATCTTTTTTGGTTAGGAGTCATAACTATATAAGTCCTCTACATAGGTTTACACGAGTCGCAGGGTATGCCCTGGCACTCCTAGCACACCCTGTAGATTCCTCTATGAGATCGTGAATCGGTGTACGCAAAGAGGGGCTAGATAAATTGGGTTTGCGATAAGTTGGGTACTTTTTGAAAGCGGCAAGTTGAGTCCCGGGGGAAAAAAATAGTAGGTAAATTGGGTCCCGGCTAATAATCTGATTGATTTTCAACGATAAAATTTCAATGTAATCTTTGATAACGCCTAATTAAAATACGTATATTATACGGTGCTACAGGAGGATGGAAAAGATAAGTTTGACTGAAAGAATCACTAATGAAGAAGTTTTAGGAAGAGTATCTAAGAGGAAATAAATATGCAAGAGTATACAGAAAAGACGAAATGAATTAATAGGTCATATTTTAAGACACGATGGGCTGCTATTACTAATCTTAGAAGGAGAATCGGTGGATATTTTGTGATTATATACTAGATACTTACGAGTATATCTCAGCTGATGCTAAATTTCCCCCAAATATTTGGTCTCGATTTTCTGCTACCGCCGTGCGTACAACCAATAGCTGTGAATCATATCATTCACGATTAAACCTTTGATTTTACATCCTAATATTTTTCACTTTATAAACGAATTATTAGAAATACAATTAGAGATATAAGTAAAATTACGAAGCACAAATCAAAAAAAGAAAATATGCTGGATATAAAACATTAACTAAGGAGCAAATGGCAAAGTACAATAATAATATAATAACCCGATTTGAGTTTATTCAATCCATAAGCGTGCGCAGACCTCTTTTTTAGTGTATGTAAAAGGCTGCCACTGCCTACCCCCCCCTAAAACTGAAAGTTAATTTAAGCGTTCAAAATTCTGGTCTTAATAACTATTTAATTTAAATTTTAATTTTTTTCCCCGAAAAAAGTGACTGAATAGCCATTTCTTAATCGTTATAACTGTATTCATAATTAAAATTGAAATTAAATTACGAAATTTACCTACTTTTTCCCAGGACTCAACTTACCTAATGCTTACATTTTTGCGAAACTCAATTTACCTATAAAAGGTCATTTGGGACCCAATTTACCAGCTCCCCGCGGAGAAACGGCATAGTGCCGGGCAAGATTATAATATAAGCGTAAAAACAATATCAAACGTATATCGATCAATCGCATGAGCAACGATGCCAGTTGGTGATAAATGTCTTGCCGTATCGTTTCTAATCTAAACTTTTGTACGCAGTAATACGAGTATGATTGTATGCTGTATCCGTGTGATATTAATTTATAATTATTAAATTGAAATCGTACACTAATGTAACGGAATTCCTTTTCCGGAAGGTATACAAATACATACAATTAAAAATAAACGATCTCGGATTATTCTATAATGCTAAACTGCGAGGTACGGGGTGGAATCGCATGGATACAGATAACGCGGTCAAACTGCACTTGTTTCTTTTATACCTTCGTAATAAATATAGTTCTCTACGTTTATGACCAAAAGTATGGTAAAAACAAAACAGAAATACAATGGTACCATCTTCAAAATCATTAGCGACTGTTTCCAACTCAAACGAAATCCGACCGAATGAATGCAAAATAGTTCGACCTTACCCCACGATAACGTTGTAACGCGCCCGTGGGTACCGAACGCATGGGACCGCGGGTGCAGTGAGCTAACCCAACGGGTTTATTATGATATTATAATCGCGACCAGGGCAGTCGGAGAACGAAATAATCAACTAGTTGTAACACCGTGAAAACGTTATATGCAAATATTACGATAAAAACGCGGTGGATAGTATCGAAACGCAGTAATTCGCGTGGACGTTTACGCGTTGACCCAAATGCACAAGACACGAGAACGCGTGAAAATCCGACAGCACAACGACCTTGGCATTCGCGCGGCGGTGGCGGCGATGGCGGCGGCGGCGATAGCGGATTACGTCGGTCCCGTGTCCAATGCGGGAAAACGTGTCCGGGAAACGGCCGTGCACCTGCGCAGGTGTGGTAGGGACCGCGAGACGGTCTCACGTGGGGGACACGTCGCGAAAATATATAAAATCTCGCGCCCCGGACTCCAGTGTATCAGTGCACAATCGTTCGGGTTTCAACAACGATCGTACAAACAGTATCTACCAGCAGCAGCAGCAGCAGCAGCAGTAGCGGAAGAAAAAAATAAATCAAATATTTTCATTTTCCGGACGGTCATTTCTCTAAGAACCATGAGATCGTTCCAAGTAAGTATATTATTTAAAATGTAATTATTGGTACCATTGTCCCGCGTTCCACCGACCTGCTACGTCGGTTTCGGATCGGACGAGTGACGTCGTGCATTTACGTTCACCCGAGCCACGACATTTACCCGTCCGTCATGTTTTCGCAGATGTTCGCAGCGCTGGCCCTAATGACCGCGTGCGCCGTGGCCATACCGATTTTTGTCGAAGGAGGACATCGATCCCACGCTTCCGAATCCGACGAGAACTACGTGAGTACATTGCGTATAATATTAACATTTGTAGCATAACACCTTGAGACGCATTGGTAACGGAAGTTACGCCGTACTCTGTCGGATCACGGGAAACTCGACAACGGCAATCGTTACGGGTTTTTTTTCACGCGGCGCACAGACTTCCGATCACCCCGTTCCGCAACCCCCGTCCGTACATCGAGACTTATCCGCACGGTCTCGCGCTGAAAACGATGACGTTGCAGCGATCACCGTTCGACTGGTAACTGCGGTTGGCGTATGCGCTTTTAACGACCCCTTCGGCTCACGGTTTCCATTCGTTTTTATTATTTGCTCGAATCCTTTTCCGCTCGTCAACGATGTGATGCGTCCGATTTCATGCACGGTCCGAACTCCCGAGTGCAACCCGCACACTACGAAAACGTTTACGGAAAAAAAAAACCGACTAGGCACCTCTCTTCCAAATCACAACTCGTCAATTACGGATATTCATAATTTTTAACAACAAACTTGACGCGCTGGACGGACGTTCACAATTATTTATTCTCATTTCAAAATGGTTCGAAATCCTCTCCGGACCTTTCGTTCGCTCACTGAACGATACATCCGGTATTCCGATGCGCAGGTTTTCGTTTTCACACGTAACGATGTATCATCGCATTCCGCCCGAGTCCTTTACACTACGAAACGAATAATAACAATAACAATTCCCCTACTACAACAATGCCATTGATCGTTCAGTTTCCCAACTGTCTGCACCGGCATACCGCGTATCAACGAGCTTGTTGTCTCGTTTCAGTCGGCCTCTACACGTTTCGTTTCCCGAAATCTATCTAAGACTTATAACAATATGCTGTAATTGCAGCCGAGCAAACAATAATAATAATAATAATAATAATATTAACAATGTGTCGTCGATAAAATATTAAAATAACGAACGTGAAAATAATGATTTCACTCCGTCTTCGTGTTCCTGTTGGACTGGAGTGTATATATGACGTGTGGGGCGAGCCTAGAAATATTTTTCGGTGGGGAGGAAGGATCGATATTTACACTAGCACATACTTCTAATTTATTTATTTCACAAGATAACAATGTTGGTAATGATTAATTTCTTATACTTTATCAACGACAATTGATTGATACCCGAAGATATATTTATGTTATTAAATTTAAATTGTATACAAATATTAAGCAATAATTTTTTTCTAAATTCGTTAAAATTTCGGGAAAAGGATTGAATAAATCACCCCTAGACACGCCCCAGGCAGCGATTTCAGACTCGTACGAATGCACGCGAACGACGTGATACTACACAAAACGTTGCCGGGATAACAATAACACCGAGACGGAGGAAAATGTACGTTTGACGCGATTTTCAGTTAAGTTTCTTTCGTTGTTATCAATTAATTCTCTACGGCGAAGGCGAAAACGCAAACGTGCCCGTACATGTTACCTACCCGTGTGCGTGCAGAGTTTCTCACTCGGTCGTTTCGCGATATTTTTCGTTACAGCCGTGCGAATCGTTAAACCCCCATTCGTTGCGTGTACACAGTGCCACGGTGGGATTTCATACACGCTCTGTAGACTAGTGGTGCGATTGACGATTCCACCTTCACTCCGACCGTTCAAAACTTGCACGTGGTCTCGCGTAAAACCAATAACCACCGGTTAGGCCGTAGCCAGATTAAGGCTCCCTCCGGTTTTGAGTTCAGAACCTCCCCTTATTTTTAAATTAAATTGAAAGATTTTAAACGCATATTACGTTTGACATTTTAAATTTTACTAATCGAAAAACATATTAACACTCCAAACCCTCTCCTCCCTCGAAAAAAATCTTGCTTTCTACGGTCTTGGTCATCACGGTCTAAAACCACCGACGACTGTTCCGACTACGATGCGCTTAGGATCACATACGTGTTTCGTTTTCGCCGTAAAGCGTGTTATTTCTCGCGCGAAATGATACCAAACAAAATGGTATCATTTGAATATCAAAAACGTTCGTTTAACCGCGCTCGTAACATTTGACAACCGTCACGCCACGCACTTTCCGCATGACGAGATCGCGTGATCATCGACCTGTTGAAACGTGCACGCGCTTAATGGAGCGGTGATCCGTTCAGCAACAAAAAGCGATTTCGACCTAACCGCGCGTCGAAAACGTTAGACGAAAACGTGCTCGTGTCAAATTCAACACGGTTTTGCGTTTTCGTCTAGCGCTGTCGACGCGCGGTGCTCGTCGAAGCCGCTGCGCGGCGTCGCGACCCTAAGGACCGTTGTTACCGACGCGCGTTCCCGCGTCGACGACGCACCGACGACGCGGTACGCGCGGGCGTAATACGTGGACACTGATCACAACGCGCGTTTCGCGCGCGGCGGACGTGTTGACAGGCGCCCAAAGCGTACAAGTTCGATTACGCGGTGCACGACCCGGAAACATACGACGTGAAGAGCCAATGGGAAGCGCGCGAGGGCGACGTGGTCAAGGGAGCGTACAGCGTGTTGGACCCCGACGGCGCCATGAGACTGGTCGAGTACACCGCTGACCCCGAGTCGGGATTCAACGCGGTGGTCAGCCGGTCGGACAGCGGTAACACGGGCTACAGGAAGCCCAGCAACGACGCGTTCGACTTCTGATTGGCGAGGAGACAACCACGACCACGGTACATCGTAACGCATACATAAAACACGCGCCGCGCGCACGTCCGCGATATCCGTGCCGCGGCTAGGAATACTTTTTTTTCTGTTTTTTTATATCCCCTGTACTTCTGTCTTATACGTCTGTCATATCTATCAACGTCCCTCTTTCTCTCTCTCAAGCTGTCCGCCCGAAGCCGTACCGATGTGCTGCTACGGTTTTCTTGTTTTTTATACGAACTACTTTGTTATTATTATTATTTTTTTGTATTAATATTTTATTATTATTATTATTATTTTTATTTTTATACGATTGTCGTATGTACGTGTGTGCCGAAATATTCGCGTTGGATCGCGATACAACTACGTGTTATATCGTAACGTACGCGCACGTAATACATATATAACTTACATTAATGTACATCCCACTTGTTATCAATTGATTTTATTTTTATTTTTTTATTAGTTTGTTTTTATAATAAATAAATACATGAGAAAAAAAAAAGAAACACTAAAAGTAATTTTTATTTCTCGTGATGGTCTTGTTACACCAACGCTGCGGAAACGTGCTTAACATTTTAACGCTTTTTAGGTATGGTTTCCCATCTCGCTGATATCTAAAACAACAATTTGATCGACAATAATAATATGAATTTCATAAAATAAATATCGCGATCGAAACTCTCCGGGCTCTCTCGAACTCGTACGGTAACAACGAAACAGTAACGTCGGTCGTGTTTGCGCATTAAGGGTCCGGTACGATTGACCGGGCGCATGTGAATTCCGCCCAAAAAAAATTGATAATTATTAAGCACACCTTGAATATAAATTATAAGTTATTAGTAAGAAGTTCTTATTACTTAATGAAGTTCAAAAGTTTAAAGTTACTTTTATTTGTATTTTTCAATCAAAACCGTATAGGTGTATTAGGCAATAGGTTTATAAATAGAATTTACAAATCCATTTTTGTACCTGCATATTTTTTCGGGCGGAATTCACATGTACCTTTTTTACTTGGATATTTTCCCGGGTGGAATTACCATAGACCTTGTTTTTACCTATTCATTTCGGGCGGAACTTATAATACCCCCGTTTGACCGATGCGTACGTGCGACGACCGTACTCATACGCGGGTGAAACGCGAATTTCACAACCAGATCGTTTTGTATTATTCATTTTTACTCCGTGCATCCGTTATCTCCTTGCTGACGTAGATGTAACGTATACAACGAAAACATTTTTTATTTATTTATCTATTCGAAAATCACGTTCGTATCGATCCGTGTGTGGCTTCCGTCACTCGTCACTGGCTCGTCCATAAAAATAAACCATTAGACGAGAATAATAATAACACATTAATAGCACGCGAACCATTCGACGCTGATGCTCCGACAACGTAATATCGTACAACGTCTTCTCGCAGGTACTTGCGCACCGTGTTCAATCAGCACGATTTTAAATATTATTCAACGCGATGTAAAATATACTAGATAGTTCGTAGAATATTTGCGAAAAGTGTACTAGATGTATATCAATGGACAGCACAATCGCTTGAAAACAATCCGTTCTATTATTTTAATAGAGCAAATCGCGTTAAAAAATTGCGGTAAAATAATATAACGTACGGAATCAATTGGCGTACCCCAAGAACGATTTACCATTATTTGAGTACGTACCTATCTAAAGCTAAATGGTTAAGTGTATTAAATAAAGTACCGATGTGCATATACCAGCATTAATAACTCTTCGCCTTGTATTGTTCGCGATTCATACACGGTATTATATTATTACAGACGTACTTTTTCGTTCTTCGTTACACGCGCAATACACTACACGCCCGAACTCGTATAATATTTTATAGCGATTTTCCCCGTTCTCGGTCATAAACTTGTACACCTCTCGTAAAAATCTATAGGCATGGTCCGATGTCCGTAGTGCAGTATTACGTGTACAATATACACTGTATATAGGTTATTCGTGAATTTCACGAGCACACACACGCAACGAGGTATATCATCGGATGGTCAAGTTGTTTTATAGCGGTCGAAAGCCGAACGGACGTACGGCGACTACTGTGTACTATATTACTGGCCGACAGTTTTCTGTGCAGTCGAATGTCCGTTCGCAATATCCGTGTATGACGAGCATTGTAATCCTATCATGGTTCGCGAGCGCCTTAAGCGCACGAGGATTCTACGCATAAGCGGAAATTCGGTGAAATTAGTGGGTGGGGGGCTGAGCATTATTTGCTTATTACACCTATATGTATCCCTGTACGCAATCATTTCAAACAATTAGGAGCCTTATCTTAAACATTTTTGGAATAGGTATTCTAAACAGAAATTATTAGTTAATTAAATTAAACAACCAATGCAGGTATTATTACATATTATTAATATTACATTAATTACGATCGCTCCAAGTCATGACAATAATTTTGTAAAATCTTACGAATTTGAATTAATTTTTATCAAAGAATATTTTTTTTTAATTCAGTTATTAAAAATGTCTTTTACAATTATAATAATTATTGTATTTTTAGTCACTTAACAATTTTTAGGGATAGGGGAGCTAAGACCTGTACTTTGCATTTCTGGGGGGCTTAGTTAAGCCCCCCCGATTTCTACCTATGGTTCTACGTATACCCGTGCAAGAACCTCCCGGGTCCGAGATATAGTACACGGAAAAAATTCAAAAAATTATCCATATGTATTTATGGCGGTGAGTGGTCTAACGATCCAGAGACCCGGGACGGCGTGATTGTGTTAACAATATTTTTAAATCCGTTTATCTGAATGGAACTAAAACAGTGAGAAACGGTTGAATTCCTATGCGATGATGTAAATTCCGTAGTTTTTTTAAAATTTTTTTTTTTGTCATGGTCCACCTATCGTTGTTTATAAACATCTATTGTCCCGCCATAAATTTCCGAAACACGTCATAAGGCGTAAATATTAATTGGATTGACATTTCGAACGGGTGGCAAATCTTAGGCAAGTGTGTGATCACGAAAGGTTATTCAAAGCGTTTGTAAAACAATACGTTTTTACGCTAGAGCGGTTGTACGGTACTTTCTGCGGGGTATTTATTAATTGCGGCTAATTGAGCGCTCGCTTTTATTATTATATCAAGTCACTGCGTCATAGTGGCTAGGTCTTACCCGAAACGTTGAGCAACACGTGCAATTTTCACGCCATTCGATATCGTTTTTTACGCATGCGTACGACAGCGCGTTTATTATGTTATACGCATATTTACGCGGATACAATGCATGTAACGTTGCTCGTACATGTCAACTAATTTATTTCTCCATAAAGTTAAGATCGAAAATAATACGATAGTAACAATATATAATATTGTTATGTTACGTAAAAGTTTTCAACGTTGGTACGATGTCACGTGCGATTATTTGCATAATTTTATGTATCAAATATGAAAAACAAATTATACGCAAAGGCCTATTAAAATATATTGTAATAGATGGGGCAAAAAAGGTTAGTAGGAACAAAAAAAACATTAAAATGCCATTGATAATTGATTTCGCTTTGATTTCACTTTTATTATATTTGAATGGAGATGTTTAATTACGAAGCCATTATTCCCTGTTTCGTTGAAAATATGTCTGATCTCCGCTTCGTTTAAAAATTTTCTGGCAACAGAGCGAAAAACTTGAAATAAAATATTTCTCCACCAGCATTCGTTTCAGACACTTATCGAGTTGCACACGTGTGAATGCGTTTACATACAAAACACCTCAAAACAATATTTATTCAGAATATCCGTCCTGGTCGGGATTCGTTTGAAAATAGTTATAAAAATAAATCATAACGGATCAAAAAAAAAAAAAAATTATTGGCATGTTGAAAACTTGTAGACGTTTATAGAAACCAACACGAGGTTAGTCTGAAATGGCGTTATATGATTTCGATCCACGTGAGAATTCGTACAAAAGCGAGCTGCTGGTCTAGGGAACGGGAACGTTCAGGTATAGTGACTTAACAAGAGTTTTTAAACGGTGGGATACCGGTGATCGGGTCAGGTAGCGGAGTGGTCGTCGGAGGGTTGTAACGGATACGATTTATAGTAAAAAAAACCACCCGGGTAAACAAGCGGGGAGTGGTATGGAAAAGATAACGCGTGGAAACAGGATAACGGAGAAGGGTGGAGGGAGAAAGGTGTTTTCCGCGTGACCAACAGTTCAGAAAGGTTTACCGCTCGTCGACGTCGCTGCTGCGTTAAACGTGTGCCGAAAGTTTTATGGTACGCCTCAGGGGAGAGGGGGTGGTCAAGTCCTCGGAACGGATAATCGAAACCCTTTTTCGCTGGGTACCGATGGAAAAGGTGTTCGTTCGGCGGCCAGCCAGTCAACGTACCGGCGTGGTCGGTGGTCACTGATCTGTGTCGCTCAGCGGACTCTCGACGCGTGACGATGACGTGTACGAACAATCCACGTAGAATGTGCCCACACGTGTGAGCGCGTGCACCCACGGACCATGAGACAACGTACATCCCACGGGTGCCCGTTTCCACGAGCGGTCAACCGTCGTGCGACGCCGCCGTGCGCTGCATGGAAAGCCCGGGATCGCGCTGATATCCCCGCTTAAGTGTTCTGCTTCACGAACTCGTACGGTACGCGCCCTATTCGTCACCTCCTGTTCTACATACACATACACTGCAACCATTGGTTATGGTTTAGAACAAAATCAATAAGCAAATGCAAATCCTGTACCAGAACCGGTAGACTGCTTTTGATTCATTTTAAGAAGAATAATTGTGGATCGTAAACACGATAGGCTTAAACAGCCGTTTATGTGCTCACTACGTACTAAGGGCCATAGGCGTGTTCAGATTTTTCGCACATGGTGCAATCCTAACTATAATATTTTTTACTAACTCAATAAGGTTGTCCAAGTATAGTCTATATAGGCCTTTCGTTGAACGAGTATACTCAGGGATCATACGCGAAAAAATAAAACAATTCTAGGAATTTTTCTAAGAGACCTTTTAAATATATATCCGTTTTACTGTCTTAACGTGTCCGACAAGATATTTCATCTGGGCAACCATTATATCTTTAATCGTGATATAGATAAGTAATTACAGGATATCCGTATTTTCATATTCGTATACATTATTAGATAATTATGCGGTTTTGCAAAAAGTTGGTATGGGCTTGCTTGGAGCAGTGGCCGCTTCATCTTGCACGGAGTGCATACCCTGTCACCCTCGTGGACACGCCTATGCTAAAAACTTTTGTTGAATCGATATCCACGGGACGACGAGAAGACGAGTGCAGAAAACGGCGTTTGGTAAGACTAGTATCGAGGGGCAGTGGAAAATTCGAAACTCATCATTGACTGTACTTGTCACGTCGGCTGCACTACAATTAAAATAATTGTACTATACTCGCGCATCCGGATTAGACCAAGAACTCTCGGACGATGGGATCGCATATGCTTCCACGGCACAAAATTCGAATGGACTTATCGGTTGCTGTGGTAGGAA